CATGCATGCCCAGGTGCCTGGTGTGAGTTCCAAGCTGCAGGGTCAGGACTTGAATTGTGGTCAGCGTTGTGGAAGTCCATCAACTTAACCAACCACACCAAATGTTGCCTCCAAGGAGGGACTTTTTTTTTTTACATGTCAGGTTTGGTGTTAAGTCCTTTCATGCATTCTTCATTGAATTCATCAAATAAAATAGGTTTCATCTTCATCTCCATTTTACTGACAGAAAAACTGAGGCTCAGAGAGGTCAAAGCACACAGCTGAGATTCAAATCTGGGGCTATGAGTTCCCCCAAAACCTCAGAACATTGCATATGTGGTGTCAAAGAACTAGGACCTGTCCAAAGTAAAAACAATGGGCCAGGGAAAATGTGAAAAGCTCAGGTGACTTGGAGATGTAGACTAAACCAAAGTACAGTCCAGTTTGGGAATATGGCTAGACAATTTAGCTTTTGCTAAGTTTAGGAAACAAGCGTCTTCCTATCAAGGCCAGGCTTGGCTTATCTACTAGACTGGAATGACAATTCATTATGGTATTCTTCACTTTACCCAATAGTAGAAGGGGGTTTCAAAATGTTTGTGGAAAATGGCATTAAAATACTAGTTTATTTTTAAAATGAATTATTTATTTAATTACATTTATTATTATTATTATTATTATTATTATTATTTTAATTTGACCAGACAGAGATAGAGAAAGAGAAAGCAAGAAAGCAAGCCGCCAGGTCCAGGACTCAAACTGCAGTCGCCCATGTGGGAATCCAGAGCCTTTAACCACCACGCCACCTGCCAGCCTCCGATACTAGTTTATTTTGGTGCATAAATTTTTAAGATCCATTCATAGATTTTCCACAATATGTATTTTCTACAGACTTTCAAAGACCTCTTGTGCCTATAAAATTATGTATAACTCAGTTTTTTGCTTTTTGCCAGGAGGTATGTGCACTCACCAGAGAGAGAGAAAATATTAAGAAGAAAGCACCTCCTGGTGGAATATGATCACAACACATCCCTTTTCTATTTATGCATTCTGATGGGATTTGAGGCAAGCACATACATATACCCAGCAAACCACTAGGGCCAGAACTGAACCACAGTTGGCCCTATGGGATCCAGCTCCCACAGCCACTAGCCTAGGGGCCAGCCCTATATGAATCAGTTGTTTGTTTGTTTGTTTGTTTATTTATTTTTAGATGAATCCATTTTAAAAGCTGAAACAGAAAATGGGATTCTTTGAAAATTTAATCTTAGGATAAACACTTTCTTAGAATGAATTATTTCTTTGTGTAATCAATCTGAAAATGAACAGATTCCTCCCCTGGGCCACAATAATGTTCTAGGAGTATAGAAGAGGCAGAATAGGCTTCTTGAAAATAATCTATAACTATGTTTCTCAAAGTGTGTTCCACAGATCCTGAGAGAAGAAGGGGTCCTTAAAGAAAAAATGAGTCATGTACCACATGACAACATTTTGGTCAATGACAGACTGCACATATAGAGGTCTTTAAGAAGTTCATGGGAAATGTGTATTATGAAGAAACTATGCACGGATCTTAATGTTTTTGGCACTCAAACTTTAATTCCCTTTTCCACGTACTTTTAGAACTCCCCTGCACATATCATGGTGGTGCCGCAAGGAGCATAGGCTATACCATATAGCCTAGGTTTGTAGTCGGCTATACCATATAGGTTTGTGTAAGTACATTCTATGACGTTTGCAAAACGAGAAAATCACCTAATGTACTTCTCAGAAAGTAGCCCTGTTGTTGAGCAACACACGACTGTATTTTCACCAGATTCTAAAATTTATTTTCACTGTGTTGATGTTTGTGCTGATGATGCAAAGCAAGGGTGGGTAACTTGCTTGGACCCTGAATCAAGTCAGAAGGTGCTACCTTTTCTCAGTAAAACAAACAAATAGAAGATCGTGCTTCCACAAGAATGTCTTGACGAAACAGTAACAAATTAATTTGATTAAATCTCAACCCATGAGTACACATCTTTTCACTATTTTGCATGAAAAAATGGAAAGTACACAGACAGCACTTCTGCTATAAGCTATGAACAATGGTTGATCCCAGAAAATACTGTGCGGTTATCTGAGTTGCCAGCTAACTCCATTCTGTATGGAGTGCCATTTTAACTTGATTGAACAACTAATAGACCAGTTATGGTTATTCAGACTAGGGTATTTGGCAGACATTTTCTCAAATACTATTAATGTCAGCCTGTCACTTCAAGGAAGGAAACAACTGACACTAATCTCTGTTGCCAATCATAAAACTCAAGCTTACAAGTGAAAACAAGTGGGAAACTTCCTTTTTTAATTAACCTTTTTTTAATTAATTATTTTATTTATTTATTTATTTATTTTAACTTGACTGGAGAGAGAGAGAGAGAGAGAGAGAGAGAGAAAGTGAGAAAGCAAGCCTCCAGGTCCAGGACTCAAACCATAGTCGGCCATGTGGGAGTATCCAGCACCTTAACCACCACACCACCTGCTGGTCCCAATGGAAAACTCCTTTCTATTACCTTGAGTTTAATAGTTTCCAACATTTAACCCTTTGTTAAAAAAAGAAATTTTGTAGAGGGTGCATGTGCTCGCCAAAGACAGAGAAAGAGGGAAAGTGAGAAAGCACAATATGGGGCATAGCCATACTGTAATCCCTTTTCCTCCATTGCTCCTCTTGGGATTTTGGGCATGCATGCCAACCCACTGGGTATGTATTTCAAGCCATCAGCTCCAGGGCTCCAACTACACAGGGATTCAGCCACCTTCACTACCACACCACCAGCTGGCCCAAACCTCTTAAAAAAAAAAAAAAAAGCATTAGGTGGTAATATTAATGAACATGATTTTTTATTATATTATATAATAATATTTCAAATGTCAATATTTGGCAGATTTGCATAACTTAGTGAATCAATATTTTCCAAATGACCAATGGCTGACATTATAACATTGTACATAGGTGGGGACCAGCAGATGGGGTAAGGGTTATAGAGCTAAACTCCCATGTAGTTGATGGCAGTTCGAGTCCTGGACCCAGCGACTTAAAACTGGTGCCAGGAACATGTGTGTGCATGCCCAAAATCCCAAGAGGAGGCTGGAGAAGGGACTATGGCGTGGCCATCCCTGCTGGTGGGTGATTTCTCACCTTCGCTCTCTCTGGCGAATGCACACACCTTATAATAAAAATCTCTCTTAAAAAAATACATGGGTAAAATAGCCATGTAAAGGGCAAAATAGACCAATGAATGTTAATGTAACAGAGTACAAAAGTTCACTAACGTGGCTTTAGATTCCACGTTATGACTAAACTTTAAGAAATTGCCCATTTGCTGAGTTTTGGTGCCATACCAAAGAACAGTGTTTACAGTTACCTGAAAAGGCAATTAAAATACTCCTCCCTGTTCCAGTTATGTATCTGTAGAAGGCTAGATTTTCTTCACATATAGCACAACAAAACAGTTTGGATGCTGAAGCAGAAATGAGAGGGGCCAGCAGGTGGCGTGGTGGTTAATGTGCTGAACTCCCACATGGCCAACCACAGTTCGAGTGCCTGATCTGGTGGTTTGCTTTCTCACTTTCCTTCTCTCACTCTTTCTCTGTCTGCCTCTCTCTGGTGAATGCATGTGCACTATAGCAAGCAAAATAATAATAGTAATAATAAATAAAATAAAATCAAACATAATTTTAAAAAAAAGAAATGAGAGTCTAGTTGTTTTCTCTAAGTCAGACAATGAAAGATTTGAGGAAATGTGTATAACAAGAAAACTGATCTGGATTCTAGCTCAGACCCTACCAGTCTCTCCAGACATTAGTCTTTCCATCTGCAAACTGAGCTATTTTTACATTCCTTCCATTGATTCTAACTGGGGAGACATAAACAGTGGCCCATAGGCTGCCTTCAGTCATCAGAGTGATTGCCCAACATGGTATTGCGAGAAGTGCAACGAGACAGTTTGCTGGAACGGAGTGAACAGCTCTTCTTTCAGATGGATTTTCAGTCACAGCCCCAATCTAGCCCACTAGTCTTGCCCCTGCAGATATCTGCACTTGCAACCTCTGGAAGGAAAGTTAAAAACATTTCCAAATCTCAAATTCCATAATTCGGCCCCAGAGACAGAGTGTCTGAGTTCCACACTTACTCTGCTACTTGCTGGCTGACTTTGGGCAAGTTAACTTCTCTGAACCTCAGTTTCCTCATGTGTAAAATGGGTTAACAGTGACCTCAAAGGGCTGTTAAGAAGCTAAGCTAGCAAATGTCTGATGGCACTTACAGAGTTAATGGTATTGAACAGTACTCTGTTAACGTGGGCCATTATTATTACTGCTAAAAAGGGGAGCATTCCCGTTTCCCACCAACCTCATACCAATTCCCTTCTCGGTAGCTGACAACTGCACTCCCCACGATCACGCTTACCTCTACCAACTCTTACCTCCAGGCCCACAGTTCCACATCCCAGGACATACAGGCCCTCCTCAGATCTCTACTTCAACTTCCTCATCCTAAATCCCCTCACTGGGGCCCCAGCCAGTAA